GAGCTAAACATCACAAACAGAGCTTGCAATAATACATTACATGAAAAAATTCAGTCTTCAAAGAAACCAGAAATTTCCACTTCGTGTGTATGTGTGTGTATGTGTGTGTATGTGTGTGCATACAGAGGCCAGAAGAGATACTGAATCATCTGGTGTTACAGAGGTTGAGCTGCCTGATGTGGGAAACTAACTCTGGTCCTTTGCAAGAGCAACGAGTATTCTTAACTGGTAAGCCAACTCTCCAGACCTACAGAACATTTCAAATAATAATTAAACACAAAGAACACTTATCAATCATTAAGACCCAGCAGTTCTTACCAAAAAAGTCTTTCTGGTGTGTGTGTGTTTGTGTGTGTGTGTGTGTGTGTGTGTGTGTGTGTAGGGGGTAAGGAGTCATGCATGCCTATGCATGTGTTTTTCACTCTTCTTGGGGTGCAATGATTGAACCAAACTCAACAGGGGTGAAAATCATGATAAAATGCTTTAATCGCTTAATGTCAAAATGTGACCTAACGAAGCCATAGTCCTTGTAATGGTAAAAGGCTCCTGGGAAAACTGGCTCAGTGCCAAGTGGGCTGCTTAAAACAGATGCTTGAAAACAGTAAGGTGCTCAGAATAATGTAGTAAATTAGTGAAGCAGTAGTTAATGTGTAGGCACATTATTTAACATCATGATCAGCAGTAGGATCTTAAAATATTTAGCTTGGCAAGAATATGAAGTACAGGAATAAGTAGTGAGAGAGTATAAGTAATTGTTCCTTTTTTTTTCGGGAGAGTTGAGCATATGTGATGGGTAAGTGATTAATATAGATATCTGTCATATTCTTTAATTTTTAATATTATGGATTAATCATAATGACTCTAAGGTGCAAAATGTGTGGGACTCAGAAATCTAGGGTAAGGTAAAATCCTCCAGGTGTTTTTTTTTTTTTAAATACAATTCTATCACCTTACTGGAGTTTAAAAAAATATTTGGAAAATAAACAAGATCTGAGTGATGGTTCTTTGAAAATAGACACAAAATGAGAGAGAATCAGAGTGTAGCATAGTAGAAGTGGAATGTGAATATTGGAATTAAGATGATTGAATGAAAGTGTAGGAGAGCATCCAAAGATGGAAGTGAATGTCTGTGCCACTGTGTTTATGTGTAGGTGTTGAAATCCCTGTGCTAAAAAGTCTCAGAACCTGCTCATACAAGTTTGAGATGTTTATGCACAAAAAAGAAAGAAAGGAAAATAAATTCTCTGTATGCATGAGTATATGAATTTGTGTAGTGACAAAGCACTGTTGTTTTCAATTTATTTTTCCTCAGGAGCATATCATTTGAAACACATCAAGATCTATGACTCTACCTGATTTAGGAGGTGATAAACACTCATTTAAACATAATCTATCTTTAGAAATTCTTACTTTAACTAGTTAGACTAGTTTATTTAAATGATTTTTTCTCTTAAGTGAGAATATATACTTTTGTATATATTCAATACAACAAGCAATAAAGTAAACATAGTATAATAGAACATTCATTTAGTAATTACTAAGATCTATGACAAATTCTTGGTATGGGTTCCCACTTAATTCTCAAAATTCTGGATGAGGTAAGTACTGCATTCAAAACTCAAGACAGATAAAGAACTTGCTGGAGGTCACCTACCAGCAAGGAATCTACCTCATTTTGTGTTTATTTGTAAGAGTTGATACAGTGCAGCAAGTCTGACCCTGGTTCCCCAGGACTCTGCTGTAACTTTATAAATTAGCCTATGTCAAGTCTGTAGCATAATGGATACCCTGTACTAGTACATATCCCGATGACAAACTGTGATTTAGTGGCATTGGAATGCAATGAGCCATGAAGGAATGGAAGTATAAGGAAAGAAAATTAGCTAATATCTGTTGAAGTGAAAGCTATCTTTCCTTCAGCAAAGATTGTTTTTTCTCTATAGTCCCCTGATTAATTTGATTGTGTTAAGTAATATATCTAGTTTATTTGAACTTGATTTCATTTAGTGCCATGTATTTCACAAAAATATGCAAGCATACAGACATGAGAGGGAGAGCAGTAGAGAAAGAATGCCATTTAGCTTTTATTTATAGTAGAACAAATAACCAAGTGACAACAGGTTAGAACAACACAATTTTACAGTATGCTGTGTTTTGTTCTGTAGATTAGAATTCTGCCATGTTCTGCATGACCATCACAAGGCTAAAATCTTTATATTTGCAGGAGTATATTCCTTCTGAGGCTCTAGAAAAAAAAAAAACACTTTTCTTTCTTTTCCAATGCCTTTTTGTTCTCCATCTTTATAGCCAGCGAGATTGGGAAAGTCTTCAGATTGTGCTGCTGGCATTTTCCTTTTCTTTCTCCTTCAATGTTTAGAGAACAACATGTTATTCTAGTCTCACCAAAATAATTCATCTGAATGTTTTAAAGTACTTAAAGTTTTTTAAAAGTTTCTTCTGTTCTGTTTTATGTGTATATGTGTCCATGTGTGCATTTATGTGTGCTGTATGCATTCCTGGAGCATTAAAGTGTCAAGGTAGGGCATAGGAGCCCCTGAAACTAAAATTACAGGTTGTTTTCAGTGGTCAGGAGGGAACTGAACCCGAGTCTTCTGAAGGAGTGACATTATTCTTAAACACTGAGTCAACTCTCTAGACATACATATTATTTTGTTGTTATTGTTATTGTTGTTTTTTTTCTCTTTAAAATTTCGGAAATAGATTTTTTATACACGTTATTCAAATTATGGTACCCCCCTCTCCTAACTCCTCTTCACTTTCTCACAGATCCAAATCCAATCCCTGTCTTGCTATCTCTCATTAGAAAAAAAAAAAACCCAGACATCTACAAAAAAGAAGAGAATAATAATAAAATAAGATAAAATAAAAAACAAAATTGAATAGGGCACAACAAAGAAATGAACAGAAATAAAAGCACAAGAAACACGTAAAGAATCAGAGACTCACCCACATTGGTGAACACAGAAATCTCAATGAAGCATAAAATCAGAAATAAGAATATATAATCAAAAGACCTGTAAGGTAAGACCAAAATTTAAATAAATAAATGAAAGAAAGAAAGGAGAAGAAGAGGAGGAGGAGGACTGGGAGGAGGAGGAAAAGAAGAAAACACTCAAAGCATTATGAGGCAAAAAAAACTCTCCAAAGTACATTTGGAGTACATTTCTACTATGGACATCAGTTTGTATGCTCAGTGAGACCTCATTGGAGAACACAACTTTTTCATTTATGAGTGGTTATCAATTAAAGATACTTTCTAGGTTCAGGAGGAGGACTTGGTGTCCTCCACCCCCCCCTCCCAGCTCTTACAATATTCTTCACCTCCTGTTTTGCATTGTTACCAGAGCCAGGAGGGGGAGGGAATTGATAGAAACATCCCATTTAGGAGTAAATGTTCCAATGTCTCTCATTATCTTCACATTTTACACACTTAACATTTTAGCCTCAGTATTTATTCCCATCTGCTCTAGGAGGAACCTTCTCTGATGATGACTGAGCAAGGCACTGATCTATGCATATGACAGAATATCCTTGGAAGTCATTTTGTTACTGCATTCCTTTAGTGGAGCTGTAGTGTTTTGTTTTTGCTCTAGGTTTCCGGCCTCTCTAGTCTCCCTAGTCTCTGGTTCTTTGCTACCCAAGCAGTGTCAGGGCTGAGTGCTATCTCATGGAGTAGCCTTTAAGTTCAAGCAGATATGGTTGTTTACTCCCGCAAGCTTTGCGCCACTATTGCATGGGCATGTTTTTGTGCAGGCCACCGTTGTAGACTGAAGGATTTGTAGCTTGGTTGGTGTTTGCCTGTCTCTTTGGTAGCATGCACAGTACTTCCTGGCACCAATAGAGGTGAAGGCTCTAAGTAAGTACCAGTTCAGCCTTTCAGAATTCAATGAATTGTGTAGGTGTTGTCTTCAGCAATAGGGCCTTTTGCTGCCCTGTTTGTAATAACCAAAAATTAAAAACAGGCTAGATGTACATCAGTGAGTGAATGGAGAAATAAAATGTGGTAAAATTTACATAGTAAGATATTATTCAGCTGCTGAAAAAGTGAAATCATGAAATTCACAGATAAATGCATGGAATTATAAAAATAAAATCATGATGAGTGTGATAACCCAGACCTAAGAACACAGACATGGTATGCATTGCTTATATGCGGATGTGAGATGTTAAGTCTTTGATAAGCAAGCTACATTCCATATACGTACAGAGGTTGGGTATAGAGAAGGAACTGTGGTGAAATGGTTGAATCACACTAGTAAGGGGAAGAGGGTGGATAGGGAGGACGGACCAGGAGGATGAAATGGGGAGAAGGAAGAGCAATGGGGTGAAGGAAGGAATATGGTGAGGGATAACTAAAACTAAGAGTGATTTGAGGGGTTGTAGGGAAACCCAACACAGCAGAAGCTTTTAAAAAAATAAATAGGAAGGTGATCTAAATGGAATCAACAAATAACAGAGGAGATAGAGCTCCAGATGAACATCCCTTGTCACCAAATGAAGCTTCTTGTTCTGGTATTGGGTTACATGTAATTGAGTTGTTGGCAAAGGGATCCCAAGGAAGCCCTCTAACAACCTAGGCTATTGCTAAGGCTATTGGTTACTCTCCAGTCTTAAAATTCTTAATTGAACCACATTTGGAAAAATTACTTTTGATTTGTAAAATAACATTCAGATTACAGGACTCCTGCATAAGGATTTTTAGGGAACCATTGTTTTGCCTATTGCAAGCCCACACTCAGCCTATTCTCTGATCCAGAGACTGGAAGAACACTGAGTACTTTCCCTTAAGAAGTTTATAGTTTTTTTTTTTTTTTTTTCAATTGAAGCATAAAATACCAGTGTCATGATTGAAGTACAAAGCAATCACTGTGCTGTGGAGACAGTAAGTGTCAAGAGAGAAATGGAAAGATACTGCCTGAAACAGAGCTATTGTTGACATGTTTATTTCATTTTTCCCTATTATCTCACTTGTCATCCAGGTTTTGAGACTCTGGGATATTCAACACCAGCTGTCCATTCAAAGGATAGCTTGTTCTTTCCCCAAAACTCAAGATTTCAGGTGCCTTTTTCATTTTGATGAAACCCATGGACGACTTTTTATCTCCTTCAATAATCAGCTTGCCTTGTTGGCCATGAAAAATGAAGTCAGCAAGAGGGTGAAGAGCCATTTGAAAGCGGTCACTTGTGTCCTTTACAACTCCCACTTGAAGCAGGTAAGGACACTTCTCTGCTTTATCTTGACAGCTTCACCAGGTCAGTGTGTCCTTTTGTTTATTTAACCTAACACAAACACAAAGGCAATGGTCTCCTGTTGCAAAGAGAAGCTTCCTTGGTATGGAGTAAGGACTACACTGATCTATGGGTAGAATAAGGACAAATATTTAGAGTGTATTTAGGACTTATGCTGGTTTAGTAAAGTGGCATGTATAGGTTCTTCTGTTATAAACTGAACAGGAATAACAGTGGATATGCCAAAAGGGATCCTAAGCAAAGCAATGCAGGAAACCAAGGGAGGCTTAGAGTGAGAGAAATAGTCTTCCCTAGAGAAGAACATACATTTGTTTATCTAGTATCAAATGGTCAGCCAAAGCCCATACATACCAATTACATTATGCAGATTGAGCAGGTTATATTTAGAAATACATATATGTGACTGCGTATAAATGCATATACATGTAACAACAATTAATGTAAAAAAGGAGGCATGAATTTGAAAGAGCAAGGAGGGTCTTCGGGGGAGAGTTTGGAGAAAGGAGAGGGAAAGAAAAAATGATGTTATTATATTAAAATCTCAAAAAATTTAAAAACTACAATGACGAATCTAGTAAATGGCATACAGAAAGAAAATGATTGAACAGCCACATGCTCTTCTGCAGTATGTGTGTCCAGGTGGATTCAAAGAAGAATTTCGTTTTCTGCCTATCATAGCAGCAACACTGATAGAGTTATGAGGAATCACAACATTTGTGTTAAAGCCAACACAACTCACGATATAATCATACTTATCTTTGGTAGCCTCTAGTTCAGGTTTGGGGCCAAAATACAGGTGAGCCTGGTTATAAAATTCCCTTTTATGATCACCACCCTCTGTATCCCCATGGAAAGCTCTGAAATATGCATGAAATGTAATTAGCAGAGACTTATTTTTTTTCCAGCGTATTTTACAGCAGTGGCTCAAAGTGGCAGCATGGAATGTATTCATAAGAGAATGACTCAGTTAAATGGGTTCCGCTTGGTATGCGGCACGAGTGCTGTTCGTCTCCCCACCACTTTAACGACACTGCAGCCTGTGCTTATGGGATCACTACCTGAATCTCAATGAAGCTTGGCTCTTCTGGAGACTGATGCCACATAGATCCTGGCCCTCCATGGAGGACAGAAAGGTCCTCCAGCCTGGCTAGCTGGTAGTGGGGTGCACTGTGAGCCTGGAGGAAGAAGCAGGCAACACTGGAGTTTAAGTCTGCTGCCATCAGCACCTCAGGCCCCAGGGGAACAGCATATTGGGAGTGATGCAGAAAGCAGATCTCCAGCTTGTGGCCAGTTAAACAGTGACTCCATCCCATTCTTGCTTTTCAAGGCTGGGGAGCTTCTGCACTGGTCCAGAGATGAGGAGTTCAGATTCTGCGCAAGGGGTGGGGAGCGCGTTGTTAGTAATGGGTACCGTGTCAAGCCATCACCGCAGATACCCTGTTTCTGGTTATTCTAGGAGATACAATCCTTGTCAAAACCATTCAGTGCGAATTCCATCTGCACAGAAACATTCCCCTGCAAATGTTTTACTGAACTTCATGGAGGCAACTGGTTAATTTGGCTGCCTGGTGGCCACTGAGAGCAGGTTGCATTTGTTTCCCAGAGGACATCCTGTTTATTGAGATCTGCAAGGTGAAAATGCTTGGTCTGTGTATAAATCTTTAAGATTCTGTGTGGTCTAACTATAAAATGAGCCATATTCCATGAGGAATTCATCTTGCCAGAGACAGAAAAGACCCGGAATCTTCCTCCTGGGAGTAGAAAATAAAAGCAAAGTTACACACAGGCAAGCTACAGAGACAAAGGAATCTGCATATGTGCAGAGGATATAGGAAATGCCCTTGTAAGACAGATACAGCTCTGTTTTTATGTTTAACAGAATAAATAACTAAAAATACGAACATATATTCACAGCACACAGATCTGCGTGTGGCATCAACACCCTCTCTTAGGTACTAAGCCAAAGAAAAACAATTTAACATTACATCATAGGAGTATGTTCTAGAGAAGAACAGAGAAAACTGTTTCCTTGCAGTCCTATGAGGAAGTAGAAGATTACTGTTTTAGAGTAGATGGACATATCAAATACCATATTTTATCAGGTGTAAGAAATAAGCCAAAGACTATTAAGATCTCATTTTTATCTGCCAACCCGCAGTACCTCAGGGAGACCGTTCTCTAGGGTAGGCCTTGATCATCCTCTCAGATTCACTATTAGGTAGATACTAATCATGCAATGGAGAAAGAACAAGGTCAGGAAAAAGTGAGCAATGTTGCCTTGTGTTGAAGGACATTTCTGCAATTCCCTGAAAGCTAGCCTGGGTATCTCTAAGAAAAAGACTGAGTTCCAGCCAGAAGATGCAGCAGGAGCCTTGTTGAAGTTTGGTGTGCACTGTGAATTTAATGGGACAGATTTAGTTTGGGACTTCCTGTGGAAGCCTAGATTGGCTACATGGCTTGAAGCCAGAATATGAACATTGTTCACTGATATTTCCATTTGGCCTCAAAAAAACAAAGCACAGACTCGAGGTCAAGAGTTCTCACAGTGTGATCTCAATCCTTGGGAGAGTCAAATCTTCAGGGGTCTGAGATGTCACAAGTATTTTCTGTGTCACTTCTTTCACAGGTTTGCAATACAACTTTCTAGAGACTACAGGACGAGTGATGAGATAATGGCTCTGGAAGCTTAAGGGATGTATGCTCTTGTACTGTAAGAGTTAATACTTTAATTGTACAATGTGCCAAATTTATGCACATATAAATGTTTATTTGTCTTCATTATTCACATTATATTTATCTATACACTTTACTGAGTATAAATGAAAGCTACTATGATTCCACAATGGTTTATAAAACTGTAAAGAGATCTCAAGACCAAGAGTTTTGAGAACTGTTGGGGTAGAGAGGTGGGAGTACGGATACTTGCTAGATCACTTTCCAAAATGTGTGTCGGAGAGGACTCAGGAATCTTTTTTCCTTTATTTATATTTTTATTAATTACAGATTATTCACTTTGTATCCCCCTGTACCTCTCTCCTCCCCTCTCAGTCCCACCCTCCCTCTTCCCCACCAGTGTCCCTCTCCCAGTCCACTGATAAGGGAGGTCCTCCTCCCCTTCCCTCTGATTCTAATCTATCAGGTCTCATCAGGAGTGGTTGCATTGTCATCTTCTGTGGCCTGGCAAGGCTGCTCCCCACTTCAGGGGGAGGTGATCAAAGCGCAGGCCAATCAATTCCTGTCAGAGATAGTTCCCGTCTCTGGCTATGGAGCCCACTTGGATACTGAACTGCCATAGGCTACCTCTGTGCACGGGTTTCAGGCCATCTCTATGAGTGGTCCTTGCCTGGAGAATCAGCTTCAGAAAAAGACCCTTGTACCCAGACTTTTTGGATCTGTTGCTGTCCTTGTGGAGCTCTAGTCCTCTCCAGGTCTTACTATCTCCCACTTCTCTCTTAAGATTCCCTGCACTCTGCCTAAAATTTGGCTATGAGTCTCAGTATCTGCCTCGATACCCTGCAGGGTTGGGCCTTCCAGAGGCCCTCTGTGGTAGGCTTCTGTCTTGTTCCCTGTTTTCTCAGACAATTAGGAATAGTGCTTCCTCAAGATACAGCTATACCACTCCTAAGCATATATCCAAAAGACGCTCAAATATACAACAAGGACATTTGCTCATGTTTGTAGCAGCTTTATTTGTAATAGCCAGAAGCTGGAAACAGCACAAATGCTCCTCAGCTGAGGAATGGATACAGATATTGTGGTACATCTACACAATGGAATATTACTGAGTGATAAAACAAAACAAAACAAAACAAGGAAATCATGAAATTTGCAGGTAAATGGTCGGAACTGGACAAGATCATCCTAAGTGAGGTATCACAGAAGCAGAAAGACACACAGGGTATATACTCACTTATAAGTGGATATTAGACATATAATATAGGATAAACCTACTAAAATCTGTACACCTAAGGAAGCTAAGCAAGAAGGAGGACTCTGGCTAAGATGCTCAGTCCCCATTCAGAAAGGCAAAGAGAATGGACATTGGAGGAGGGGCTCAGGAGTCTTGATGCAGCCCTGTGCTCTTCGGGGTTGCTCTGGTTAGGCTGAGTGCTGGAGTCTTCAAGGCAATCCCTTGCTACTTACCAGAAAACTTCTCCTAGCTTCTGAACACTTCCCATGACTGTCACTGCTTTGAGGAAACTGATTTTCTCAGTAAATTTCGAGAATTCCCTAATCTTTCATTTTAAACATGTGAGGGGACAAATGCAAAGGGGTCTTTTCTGAGACTGATACTCCAAGGACAATGCATGGAGATAACCTAGAACCCCTGCACAGATGTAGCCCATAGAATCTCAGTGTCCAAGTGGGTTCCTTAGTAATAGAAACAGTGACTGTCTCTGACATGAACTCAGTGGCTGGCTCTTTGATCATCTCCCCCTCAGGGGGGAGCAGCATTTTCAGGCCACAGAGGAAGACAATGCAGCCAGTCCTGATGAGACCTGATAGGCTAAGGTCAAAGAGATGGGGAGGAGGAAATCCCTTATCAGTGGTACTGGAAGGGGATGAGGGAAAGGACTACAGCTGAGATACAAAATGAATAAACTGTAATTAATAAAAAAAATTAATTAAAAAATAATAATACTCCTCCCCCCAAAAAAAAGTCTGGAATGGAGCCCATTGGTTCATACTCTTTGTCTCCTTTTGGGACATCTTGTAGATTTATTTTTTGTCTGTATTTGGTGATATCCTTCTCGTCTTCTGTTGTCATATCAACATTTTGCCCACATTTCAATGTTATTTCATCCCAGCTGGGCTTCAGAGTGGAAGCCTCACCTTGGCCTCATACAAACATACCATGGCACATTTCTGCCAATCTATTTCTGCATGTTTTGTTTTCTTCTTCTTTTTTTCCAGCTCCTGTCTAAGAGAAGGCGCTAAGCCATACAGAGTCTATTAAAAGCAC